AGTGGGTGCAGTGCTTGTGACTCAGTGGGTGCAGTGCTTGTGACTCAGTGGGTGCAGTGCTTGTGACTCAGTGGGTGCAGTGCCGGCCCAGAAGGAATGACGCCCTGGGTCTCATCCCTGGCATCATGTAAACCAGGCACGGTGACATATGTTTGTCATCCCAGCTCTCAGGAGGCTGAGGCAGGAGGATCTCCAAGTCCAAGCCGGCCTGGGATATAGGGACTCTGAGCCAAAAAGCTAGAAAGAGGGGCTGGAGAGGTGGCTCAGAGGTTAGGAGCACTGGCTGCTCTTCCGGAGGTCCTGAGTTCAATTCCCAGCACCCCCGTGGTGGCTCACAGCCTCTGTAACGGGATCTGAGTCCCTCTTCTGCTGGGCAGGCACACATGCAGAGCACTATATACAAAATTAAATCAATCTTTTCAAAAAGGAAACGGGGTGCGGCTGGATGGTGAAGCATAGTGGTTAGGGAGCACTCAGCCATGCAGTCGATGTTCAGTGAGGTCACCTGACCCCTAGCCCCGCCTCCACCCTCTCCCATCTTCCACTTAGAAAGAGCGCTTCGTGAAACTTCTGGACCAGCTACACAACTCCCTGAGGATCGACCTGTCCATGTACCGGGTGAGACGCTCCTGTGCCCAAGTCTGCATCGCTGGAGCTGGTGTCCCTGTGAGGGGGGCACCCAGAGGAGAGGGGCCTGGGGACCCAGGGCAGCCTGCACAGCTCCTGCGTCCTCACGTGGACGGCCCCTGTCCGGGTGCGGGGCGGTCACCGTGTCCGGTGCGGGGCGGTCACCGTGTCCAGTGTGGGGCGGTCACCCTACCCCAGTGCGGGGCAGTCACCGAGTCCCGGTGCGGGGCGGTCACTGTGTCCGGTGCGGGGCGGTCATGTCCGGTGCGGGGCGGTCACCGAGCCCCACCGTCCTGTCTCTCATCACACACCTGGGCCAACAGAACAACTTCCCGGCCAGCAGCCCCGAGCGTCTGCAGGACCTCAAGTCCACGGTGGACCTCCTCACCAGCATCACCTTCTTCCGAATGAAGGTGGGTGTCCCGCAGGCGTGCCCGCCGTCCTCACACGGCCGCGTGGAGAACCCTAGCCACTGCGGCAGGGCGCCCTTAAACATGGTGGGGCTAGCAACATGGTGATGGGTAAAGTGCTCGCCACCAAACCCAAGGACGTGAGTTCAATCCCTGCACACGGTGGAGGGCAAGAGCTGACTCTCACAGGCTGTCCTCTGAGCTCCATGTGCGCACACACACAGACACACACACATACACATGCACACACATACACACACAGACACACACATATGCACACACAGACACACATACACATGCACATGCACACACCACACACACACATATGCACACATATACACACACATGCACAAATACATACATATACACACACATACACATGCACACACACACATATACACAAATACATACATATACACACACATGCACATGCACACACATATACACACATACACATGCACACACATATACACACACACACACATATACACACACACATGCACATACACACACATACACACACACACACACACACATGCACACACACACGGGGAAAATTATCTAGGTGTAGTGGCACACACCTTTACTCCCAGCACTCGGGAAGCAGAGGCAGGGCATCTCTGGGTGGGGGAGGCCAGCCTGGGCTACAGAGCGAGACAAATCAATCACAACGAATACCCTGTGGGGAAATCACCAGGCAGTCAGCACATAGCAACCCAGACGCAGTTCAGGATGTCACTGTCCGGCCGTCCTCACCAGGGCCTGTCTCTGCCTTCAGGTTCAGGAGCTGCAGAGCCCGCCCCGCGCCAGCCAGGTGGTGAAGGACTGTGTGAAGGCCTGCCTCAACTCCACCTACGAGTACATCTTCAATAACTGCCATGAACTGTATGGACGCGAGTACCAGACGGACCCGGTGAGGCCCCGGGGCGGCCCCTGCAGGGCATCCAGGGACCCTCAGGATTTTCTTCTGGGACTTGGGGTTAGAAGCCAGGTCTCGGGACTGTGGAGTGGTCTGAGTAACGAAAAAGGGCATTTGGTGCCGCCAGTGGGGGGCCGAGCATCACGTTCACAGCAGGCCCTCAAGGATGCGCTTGATGAGTTTAAAGCTTCAGGACTCGTGGGAGTCTCCATTTGCACAAGGTCCAGTGAGTCAGGTGGATCAGTGGTTAGGAGCACTCACTGATCTTCCAGAGGACCGAGCTCGAGTCCCAGCACCTACACCATGGCTGGCATCCACCGCTGTCACTGGAGAGAGGGCCCAGCGGGCACAGGACTGGCCACCAGTCCTGTGGTCTGTCCCTGGGACCCACACGGTGGAAGAAGACAACCCACCCCACACGGTGTCCTCTGACTTCGCATGCTGTAGCACACATGGCCACCCTGACACATACAAAAATAAACGAAAATGTTGACAGTCAGGTGTGACGCTACTACCTTCATAGGCCTGGCCCTCAGGACACTGAGACATGAGATGGACAGTTCCAGGCTAGCCTGGGCTACATCTTGAGTCTCTGTCTCAGAAAAGAAAAGGAAATACTGGCTTGAATCTCCTTTAGCTCTGCTTTGATTTTAGTTTGTGTGTGGGTTTGTTTGCAATGACGGTCTCATCACGTGTAGCCCAGGTTGGCGTCAGAGTCTAGCGGAGGGTGAGGACCACAGCCTCTGCATCCAGCAAGTGCCAGCTTGCCAACACTTGTTGACTGTTTTCTTTGAAGCATGAGGCAGGGCTCTGCCATGGCTCCCTCACTCCGCCCACACCAGCCTCTGACCAATGTCTCCTCTGGCCCTTTCAGGCCAAGAAGGGGGAGGTCCCCCCCGAGGAGCAGGGCCCCAGCATCAAGAACCTGGACTTCTGGTCCAAGCTGATCACACTCATCGTGTCCATCATCGAGGAGGACAAGAATTCCTACACGCCGTGCCTGAACCAGTGAGCGCCAGCCCAGCCCATTCTGATAGCTCCGAATGTGTGTGTGTGAGAGAGGCCCTGTCGGCTGACTTCCTTTTTACATTTTATTTTGGGGTAAGGTCTCCATAAGGCTGACCTCACACTCACTCTGTAGCCCAGGTTGGCCACTAACTTGCGCTCTCCCTGCCTGGGTGTCCTGAGGAGCCGGGAGCACAGGCCTGAGCTGCAGGCCCACCTGTGGAATTTAGAGTCTGATTACACCAGCTTGATTGTATGTGTGTCCACAACTGAGGTGTGAACTTCAACAGTTTTCTAATTAAAATTTTATTTTGGGGGTGCTGGAGAGATGGCTCAGTGGTTAAGAGCTCTTCCAGAGGACCTGGGTTCAGTTCCCAGCACCCACATGGCAGCTCACAACTGTCTGTAACTCCAAGAACTGACACTCTCACACAGACATGCATGGAGACAAAACACCAATGCATCAAAAAAAAAAGTAAAAAAAATTATGAAATTTTATTTTGGGCAGCCAGTGGTGGTGATGCCTTTAATCCCAGCACTCGGGAGGCAGAGCCAGGCGGATCTTTGTAAGTTTGAGGCCAGCCTGGTGTACAGAGCTAGTTCCAGGTCAGCCAGGGCTGTTATACAGTGAAACCCTGTCTCGAAAAATCAAAAAATTTTTTCTTAAATTTTACTTTATTTTTAAAATATTGTCTTTATATGTGTTTGGGTGTTGTGCCTGCTTGTGTGTCTGTGGACCATGTTTGTGCCTGGTACCTGTGGAGGCCAGAGGAGGGCGTTGGATGTCCTGGAGCAGGAGTTACGGACGGTTGTGGCTGTCATGTGGGTGTCAGGAATCAGCCTGGGTCCTGTGTGTGTCGTAGTCAGTCACTTGTGGTCTCTCTCTCCACCGTGGCGATGCTGGGGACTGAACCCAGGTCTCAGGCTCGGTGGCAAGCGCCTTTACCCATGGAGCTCTCCCACTGGCCTAGAGATGAGCTTTACCATAGAATGTTGTAGCTAGTCTCTGGGCGGACGCCTGTGGTCCAGCTACTCATGAGACAGGCAAGAGGAGAAGTTGAGTTGGAGTTTGAGGGTGGCCTTGGCCACCAAGTGGCACCGTGTGCAGTGTAGAGCGCCGAGCAGTGTGGGAAGGTGGGCACAGCTTGTTCCCACATGACCTCTGTGTGAGAAATTTATCAAAGGAGCCATCGAATCTACTTCTTACAAGTGAGCAGTGGAGCGCGTGGGGAGTGGGTGGACGGAGAGGTGAGTGGACGGAGAGGTGAGTGGACGGAGAGGTGGGTGGGTGGGCGGAGAGGTGAGTGGACGGAGAGGTGAGTGGACGGAGAGGTGAGTGGGTAGAGAGGTGAGTGGACGGAGAGGTGAGTGGGTGGACGGAGAGGTGAGTGGGTGGAGAGGTGGGTGGGTGGAGAGGTGAGTGGACGGAGAGGTGAGTGGACGGAGAGGTGAGTGAGTGGAGAGGTGAGTGGACGGAGAGGTGAGTGAGTGGATGGAGAGGTGAGTGGGTGGAGAGGTGAGTGGATGGAGAGGTGAGTGGGTGGAGAGGTGAGTGGACGGAGAGGTGAGTGGGTGGAGAGGTGAGTGAGTGGACGGAGAGGTGAGTGGGTAGATGGAGAGGTGAGTGGGTAGACGGAGAGGTGAGTGGGTAGACGGAGAGGTGAGTGGGTGGACGGAGAGGTGAGTGGACGGAGAGGTGAGTGGACGGAGAGGTGAGTGGGTGGAGAGGTGAGTGGGTGGAGAGGTGAGTGGACGGAGAAGTGAGTGGGTGGACGGAGAGGTGAGTGGGTGGTTGATTAGTGTGAGAGGGAGGCAGGCGCTGCATTGGTGGGTGCGGACTGAGGGAGGAGCCTGGTCTTCAGACCCTCTGACCTGCAGCAGGAAGGTCCAAGCGTCCCCACCCTGTCCAAGCTCCAGGTTTT